CCATCGCAAGCTGATCTTCCGTGTTTCCGATTTCATCGATGTTTTCTGTTGAGGTTTTGTCGCTTTCGTCGATTTTGCTTGGATCTTCTTCTTCGTCTTGAGACTCTAGTTCTGTTTTCTTCTCTGGAAAAGCTTCTTTCTTCTCGATTTGGCAACTTTCCCACATTTTGAATATAACTTCAACCGAATCGTCTTTGTCATCATCTGGAGATTCTTCTTTGGTCTCCTTCTTCTCGGTTTTCGCCTCGGGTTTTCCATTGATGACTTTCTCCTCCATACCACTGCCGTTACCATTGCCATTGCTGATCTGTTCTTGTGGAACTTCCTCATCAGTGGTTTCGACTTTAGGAGATTTCTCTTCTACACTTCTATGACCGTTCTCAGACGAAAACTCAACCACTTTTGGTAGTAAATCATACTCTTTTTCGGTTTCACTGAGCTCGACGTTCTCCTCTTCTGCTTTCTTCTTGGCCAATAATGCTTCCTCCAGTAACTTTGATAACTCCTCGATCTTCTTCAGAGAAACATCCTCCTTCACCCTCAGATCCTCGTTTTCATGAATGACACTTTGAAACTCAGTTTCTTTATCCAACAGATTCTCTTTGAGTTTCATGCTTTCGGCTTTTGCTTCCCCGAGAGTTTCCTGAAGATAAACCACCTCGCCTTCCACTTCTTTTAGAGTGTCTTTTGTTTGGGTTTCTTTCTTCCAAGCCGCATCAGCTTCTTCCTCGGTTCTCTTCAGCAAATTATCCAACCTACTCATTTCTTTCCCCATGGAAGCAACGTCTTCTTCCATTTTCTTCACGTAATTCACCAAATTGGCTTCTTTCATCTCCCACTCCGTTTTTGAGCTCTCGAAATGTTTCTTGGTTTGTTCGACCGCACTAAGAAGAACATCGATCTCATGTCTCGCCTCGTCAAGCATATTCTCGTACTTCTCGTTCGTCGCTTTAATCACCAACTTCAAGTCTTCTATTTGTGTTTCATACTCGTGATCGCCTTGGCTCATCAATTTCTCTTTCAACTCCCTTCCTTCACTCGACACTTCATGCAAAGCTGAAGCTAAACTCTCCATGGCTTTCTTACTCTTCTCCTCTTCCTCCTTTGAACTTTCAAGGTCAGATAAGAGTTTTCTTTTCTGTTCCGAGAGCCTTTGAACACTTAAAGCAGCATCTTTCTCCTTCTGTAAAGCCCGATTCTTCTCCTCCTCGACAGTTTCAAGCTCACTCTTCAAGTTCTCTACTTCTTTTTCAATCTTAGACAATTCTTCTTCTGTGTGGCCCAATCGTTGCTCAGATCCCTCAAGATCCTCCTTTTGTCTAGCAATTGTTGTCTCCAACGTCACAATTTTCTCCTTGAGATCTGTGATTTCCGATTCTGTGTCATGCAATTTATCATTGTTTTCTTCAAGTTGTTTCATCACAGATTCCAAAGACACAGAAGCAGTTCTCTCCAACTTGTTAGCTTCTTCTAGCTTTTCCTCGAGTTCTTTGGCTTTACTCTTCCACTCCTCAGATGAGCTGTTTGCACAAGATTCTGCCATCTTTGCCGCTTCTAGGTCGACATTAAGCTTCTTGATGACCATCTCTTGTTCTTTGACCTCTGCTTCAAAACTTCTCGCTTTCTCCTTGAGATCTGTGATTTCGGATTCTGTGTCATGCAATTTATCATTGCTTCCTTCGAGTTGTTTCATCACAGATTCCAAAGATACAGAAGCAGCTCTCTCCAATTTGTTAGCTTCTTCCAGCTGTTCCTCCAGTTCTTTTGCTTTGCTCTTCCACTCCTCTGATGAGGTGTGTGCACAAGATTCTGCCATCTTTGCAGCTTCTAGGTCGACATTAAGCTTCTCGATGATCATACCTTGTTCTTTGACCTCTGCTTCAAAACTTCTCGCTTTGTCAAGATCTCTTTTCAAAACCATAATCTCATCTTCTAGTTTGGTAACCAGCTCGTTGCCCGATATGGCCTTCTTTTCTCTGGTCGAATCAAGCAAAGCTTTCAACCGTGTCAACTCCGAAGACAAGATATCAACTTTTTCTGCATGAATTTCGGCCGTCTTACTAGAATCATCTGCTTGGGTCAAGGCCTTACTCTTGGCGTCATTGGCCGCAGTCAATTCTTCGTTGACTTTCTCAAGCTCCTGTGTTAACGAAAGAAGAGCAGCAGAATCCAAAGCATGCTGGTTCTTGACATTCTCGAGCTCTTTCTTCAACTCCTCTTCTTTTTTCTGAACTGCCTCGATCCCTGCCTCAACAGCCTGAAATTTCTCAACCTCAGAATTCTCCACTACGTTTTTCTGAGCTTTTAAAGCAACATCCAGCTTCCCAGATGCTTCTTCAGCCTGTTTTTTGGCTTCATTGAGTTCATCAAGTGCTTTAGCTTTTTCCTTCTCCAATGAAGATATCCGCTCATTCGCTTTCTTGAGATCTTCCTTTATTTGACTCAACCGGGTAACCGGTTCTGATCCTTTCACCGCAACCCGAGCTTGAGTTTTCTGCGAATCATTAGAAAAACAAATTGATGTCAACCGTCTTGTTAAAGAAGATAAAACCACATCCAATTTTCTAGAACACAATACACTGTAAAGTTTCACAAATTGATTACACACTGTGATTGGCATCTACCTACTTAGGCACTAATTCAACAACACTTTTTACCTCTGGGGGAGTTGGAACCTTTGGTGATCGTCTCTCAGCAGAAGACTTTGAGTTTGGGGAAGAACGATCAAGTGAAGGGCGTGAATTCGGAGGAGTCGGTGATGGAGAATTAGGTTCCGATTTAGTCACTGCTCTACTCAATTTCGCTACTCTTGAAGTTGCAGGAGATGATTTCCCCGGAGTAGTTTCCGATAAACTAGTTCTGTTCCCACACAAAAAACAATAGTCGATCTCAGCAAAAAAAGCAAATCGATCATACATTTTTAGATTGCCGCAAAAGAATGGAGAAATTCTAGATCACTGAGATTGAAGAAAAAGAGAGTCGATCATTGACAATTTTCTCAAAATAGTAACAACTTCCAGTTGAAATCACAG